CACAACAGCAACAACAAAAATAACGAACTGCAACAAGAATTGATATATTGGGTTCTTGGACTTTTGGACTTTTTGCAACAAGAATACTGACAACCGGCACCAATATTATTTGGTTTATTACTGTCCTAAATCCTTCCTCTGCCAATTTGGAGAGAAGGTTCTCGCTCTCCAGTGAACCGGACAACTATGCTGGCGGAAGCGTACGCTCCTGGTAGGGCCACATATGCCGGATAGGTCAAAGGATAGGAGCAAGACGAACTGTAGACCCTGGTCCTAAATGTTGAGGGTTGATCGTGCGACTGACAACCCCATCCAAGGGAAAATCTGTTACGAAACCTCCAGAGCCTATGCAGGAGGCCATGACCCACAGGGTTGCAGCGCCACTATAGACTACCTCAAAAGCAAGATACATTGCTGGAAGCTTTACTGCTAAATGATAAAAAATGGCTACAGCACCTACTTTCAAGGGAATGGACATGAAACTTCTGGCAATTTCGAAATGTAAGAGTTAGCAATTAAAACATAGTTAAAGGAATAATATAATGTATGAGATGACTCTAGCGAGATTGCTAGAATTGCCAAGTAATAGTAGCCTTGATTTCGAACAGCAAAATCAGTCAATCCATAAAACTTATGAACACCTATATATAATTTCAAAAAGGGGGAAAACATATCATTCCACAAATTACGCATCAGTCAGAATACCATGCAACAATTATAGTACAGTCTGGCCCACATTCTTACAATTTATTTCCCGTTAACTGCAGTGTTAAAGGTATAACTTTCCTTACCATCAGTATTTAAAAAAAAAAAAGATAATTTCTTTGGTGAGAAGTTACGTGTGTTTTATATATAACAAGTGATGCAGGTTAGGGGAACAAACCACAAATTATCACCATGACATTGTAAATACCAAACTATCGACTGCTGCTTCAGATGAATGGCAGTTGACTTTGCTAATAACGCCTTAAAAGAAAACATATACCACTCATAACGAAGATAAATTAAAACACAATTTAATTTTTTCTTATTTTCGTCTGTGTCTGTTTCTTTAAGGGTCAAACTGTATTGCTATTTCCCATGTCGGTGGGGGGGGGGGTTCCCTCGCCCAGAGAGAGTAGCTGACCGCGTCCAAAGATACCACCAATAGGATTATTATTATTATTATATGTTACAGAAAATGATGACCTTATAAACCACAGGGGTTTCCAACAATCCCCTTACTGCAGCTTATACGAGTGCTTCAAGAAGGTAGTTTTTAAGACTCTCTTACCCTGATTATCCACCGATTCAAAGGCCCCCTTCCCCCTTGATCAGTATTCTTGAGAAAATGGTTAGCTACCTACTGAAATGGGGTAAGGGGAGGTTTTGTTCACCTGGTACAGAAGGGGGGCATAAGGAAGCTAGAGGGGTAGCTTAATCACAGACTGGGAACAAAATATAAGGCTATGATATTTTTGTGTCAGAGACTGCGATGCGTCAGGCTGGTACATGTGAAGGTTTGTGCAACAACGGTGTACGTTACACTTCAACTGCAAGAATGCTGACTAGACTGGACCCTTAGAAATCCCAACAGTGAAACGCACTTCAACTCTCTTACAACAGATCCCTTCTGACAAAGGTTTCACATAATTTACACTGCTGATAACATTCGGCAAATATAATATTCATTATTTTCTCAAAATGAAGGGGTTAAGTTATGTTCACCTGCCTCTTAAAAAAGGTAAAGTTGTGCTGCGCTTAATCAATTAACCACTATGTCATAAAGACATATGAGGGAGTGGAGGTATAGCTCCACCATTCTTGACATCGACACTAGAGGGAGGTGAGCTTCACGCACCGGCCGCTTTACCCCACGGTACCCATTGGTGGGGAGGCTGGGTGTATAGCAGAACGGGTCTGGATGCTGTGGAGAGAAATCTTGCCGTGCTGAGAATCGAACCCTGGCCATCCAGCCCGTAGCCAAGTGAGCTATTCCGATTCTCTACAACAAAGAATTCTGAATTTTGTCCACAGAATGCTTATTATGCTGTTCTGAACAACGGGTATTTCCTTCAGCAGTTCGAACTCCACTACGCAGAATGGTAGAATAAGTGAATAATTAACAGGAAAGGATGTGAAAGGAAACTACCGTCCCTAATCTGAACTACTATCCCGCCATTTTCCTGGAGGCACGAAGGAAAATCAATCTTAGTGAAGGTAGCCGGCCAGTGAACCGAGATCTGAGGCCGACACCTCCCTAAAACGAACGAGTGGTACCTGTCTGACCACTAAATGAAACTTGGGTTTAACGGACACTTGCTGTGACACCCCTGTCACAAACAGGCTTCCCCATTTCTTTACGTTATACATATTTTTTTCCTTCTTTTTTGCAAATTAAAAAACGCTATTTGCAGCTACCAGGTGTTTGCAGGGAAGTGAGGAGGGAATTTCCGCACTGCCATTGTTAGAAATTCAAACGTCCTCTGCAAAGTGGCTCTGAGGGAGACCCAGGTACGGGCCAGTGTTTGGAGGAAGGTGTCCTTTTTGTTCCCTTCTTCCGGATGTGTGACCATGTACATCCACAGCACTGGAACCACATTTCCTTCGTCAAGGGCTGCTTCCACCAAGTGGGTCCGCGCCCTCAGGGGTTTGCCTTCCGTTGCAGCAGTCTATATAACCAAGGCAATGAACCCTAACCCTAGTGTCCTTGGTTCAGATACCGTCCTAAAAACATACGCTTCCAATACAGACACGGGATTGAACCCTAACCCTAGTGTCCTAGGCTCGAATACCGTTTCACTAAAGGTAGACGTATATGTATTCTTAACCTCGGCAATAAATCAGCTTGACGCCCTGGCTGCATATCCCTCGTAAAAAGAACCTCTGATACCCAATGCCCACACGGCCTCACAGGCAATAATGATGTGTGGAGAAGAGAAAAATCTCTCGCCGTAGCTGGGAATCGAACTTCAGCCCGTAACCCAAGTTGCCAAAAACGTGCAATATACTCGAGGAGTCATCCTGGATAACAATTTAGGGCTAGCTATGTCATTCCCACTGCGGGGAGGGGGAGGGGGCTGAGAGAGTGGTACACTGACCCACAGGTCAAAGATTCTCGATACGACTCCCAAACTTGTTAAGTGGAGACAGGCGGGTTGAGTGGCATGACCACTCGTGTTTCCACTGTGCTCTGGGGACAAGTCCAACCGGAAGACGGGCCTTCACTTTCGCAAGGAGATGAAATCCAAACCATCCTCTCAATAAAGAGAGACAGGGGAATGTCAACAGCTGTCACCCTTATGTTGGGTCCACTTCTGGAGCCTTTTAAAAAATAAATTGCATCGGTGTTTCTTCCTTTGCTGTCGTATAACATGGAAAACCTTTCCAGTTTTTCATCTACGTTTAGATGGATCTTGTGTGCTAAGGAATTGGAAACAGTTAAGTTAGCAAGAGCATCTGTAACTGGCACTGTGGGATACATCCCAGCCTGCATCACTTTTGCCAACCTGAACGCCATCATGACCGTTTCCTTTCGGATCTTACGCATTTCTTTCACAAACGCAAAGAAAAAGTGTTCTAAGCAGGGCAGTTTCCAAAACCGACCACACATCAGATAAAACTTCTGGGGTAAAAAATGCATAAACTTAATAAACCTAGCAAGTTACATACTGTTAAGGGGCCGCGCCATAGCTCAAGCGGTTAGTCGCTAGCTTCCCACCGCGGTGGCCCGGGTTCGATCCCGAGTTTGGTCAAGTGGGATTTGTGGTGGACAAAGTGGCACTGGGGCAGGTTTTCTCCGAGTACTTCGGTTTCCCCTGCCAATCTTCATTCCACCAATTGCTCCACAATCACCCTCACCTATCATCTGGGGCTGTTACAATAGGCCAGAAGTGGCCGCAGTACAAGGGACTTAGTCCCACCCCACTAACAATAAAAAAAAGTTACATACTGTTGCCTTCTGGATTATGATTACCGACGTTTCGGAGGTAAAGTTAAAAAAAAAGGAAAAAGCTATCCCTGTAACAGGTCGTGGAGGCCCATAGGGTTGTGGGACGTCAAGACTTCTACGGCCAGCCGCCTTTTAACCCCGGGAAGACTCCTGGCACTCATTTCTGTTAGAGGCTGAGTCGACCCCAGGGCCATAGTGCGGCTAGAAGGATTAGGTCAATTGAAAAATACAATGACATCATTGGGAATCGAACTCGCGACCTTCTGGCCTGTAGCATAAGCGCCTCAACCAACTACGCTACCGCGTGCCCCCCTGAACTGCTTGTATGAAATTAAATTAAGCACGGAAAGGGCTGAACCAGATGAGATGTTGCGACGAATCCTGGGTGTCATTTCATGAAGCGCTGTGAACGTGACAACATCAGGTCGCAATATAATAGCTTCGTGAAGGACATAATTTATTCTGTCCTGTTACATAAGTACGTGCAGTGTTATCTTAATAAACGAACTACGCGACGATATATTCTTGGAAAATACATGCTTTTGCGCTTAAAAACGGACCATGAATAAATTCTGCAGTTTTTTATCTACACGTAGTCCGGCCTCTTTACATATAATACAATAAATTTAAAACGTCAGTGACATTATCAAGACCGCTTCTTTCTTACAGATAGATAATGTCGTTAAGTAAAATGTTATATATATATATATATTTTTTTTATGGTTATTTTTTATTCTAGAACACACATTACGTGTCTACCATAACTATGCATAATGCAGAGAATTTCTACATATACAGAGACAAAAACAAAACAAATTCAAGAGAACTAGCTTTTGTTTTGTGGGCACGTTTCCATGGTGATGAATACTGAGAACACTAAGAGCTCCCAGGTCACCAGTCATCCCACTGGGCCGCCATGATGAACGTGACCCAACTTAACAACAAAATATCTTAAAACAATAAAAAAACAACAAATGAAGAAGAGAGAAAAAGATATGTGAGGGTGTAGGCGGGGAAGAGAGACAGAGAAATTGGGGTGGGGGGAGTTAGAAAATGAAGTACAACTTACCGGCGGATCGTGATGTTGCATTGTTTCTATCATGCAGAGCTTCCACGATCAAGGAGAATGTCCCCTGAAACAAAGGAGCATCGCCGGATTATAATTCCGAATACGAACGGCATATAAACTAGGCTGTTCGTCTTTCTTACTTTTTAGGAACATGTAAAATTGTTTTATTTACATCACTGCAGTATACGTAATAGCTGTAACGTTGAACCAGAAAAAAGAAATAAACATGTAAATTTCAAAACAGATATAACATTTCATAACCTATAATACTGTAATATCCATCAACAGAAACTGTTCGTACAAACCGCTGTACACTAAAACTTCATATAACCTGACACTGACGTATTGTTCGCAGTTACTGACTTTATGAAAGGCAAATGTATGCTGCCAAGAAGAAAAATATAAATCGAATATAACTAACACCAATACCTCATTTTTCTGTTTGCATTTCGTGACAATGAATTCTACAGCCTAACAACTTTATTTTAACGTATCCATGCGACGAAGATAAAACGCAGGCATCAAACACTGACGCTTCTAACAACAACAAAAAAACAAAAAAACTCCGTGGCTTGAGTCCGCAAGCAAACCATACCGACCGAGCGACCGCCGCTTATAGGCGAAGTTAGTGCCAACTTTAGCGGATAGAGGTTGTCACGTGGTCATCGCAATGAATTCTCACGACTGTTAATTTCGGTTTTCTAGACCGGAGTCTCTATTTCCTTGAAACAGCTCCTCAATTATCCTCATGAGGCAGAATGGACCCCGTTCCAGAACCACTACTTCTCAGAAAATCTGACAGCGCCGGTAATCGAACCCGGGACCTCAGGATCTGTATCCCGGAACTCTGACCACTAGACCATAGGGCCCATCTCTCTCAGGAAACTATATATTTAAGAAAAACCCACACACTTCGAGCAAGTTCAAGCAACACATCATAATGGGTCATTTGTCCAAATGTTGGCTCACATACAGGTTTCAACCCATTCATTTACAAGTTCCAAGATTTATGAATGATGGCGGAGAGTGACGCTGACGAGCTCCACTACCGCCTCCTAGATGCAACAACACGAACTAAAACTAGTTTCAGACTAATGGTCATATATTTGCTGTAACAAGAAAGAAAGAAATTAAACTGTCAATTGTGGATAGCTTAAGAAACAGGAAAAATTTTCTAATATAACATTAACAGTCAAGTGATGATTCCTGGTACAAGCAAGGCCCGATATGCATGCGACACAATAACGTGGTTTTAAAAAGTCACGCTCAGATCAACTTATACACGTGACAATACTTCTAAATTTCATGCTTAACAGATGCAACCGGTTACATTTCAATTTTGTTTTCAGTACACAAAATGGTGTCTGTTTCTAATTAATTTTAATCATACTGCCAAATAAAGCTGGTTGCGCCATTTGTCGGGGTTTCCGGGGCCTATAATTTTCAAACCGGAAACAACAGATCTTACGGAATATGAGAGTGCAATTCAAAATGTTTTACTTGGCTATGCTGTAACTTTTTGAGTTACAATTTCATATTCCGTAAGATTTGTTGTTTGCTGAAAATTGAAAAAGATTTGTTGAAAATTATATGCCACGGAAACCCCGACAAAAATTAGGACCGCCCTGTATATCCCGGCACGAAGTGAGCACTACCATGATCTTCAGAGACCGTGTAAAACCATGAAAAATTTCAGTCAGGACAGCCAATCTCCGGGTTAAAAATCTGAACCCTAAATTTTCCGAATTCGAAGCAGTGGTAACCATCCTGCCGCGACGTTTGGTCAGAAACTGTACTGCTTTAATTAATTAGCAGTTTATTCATCGATGTTGTTAGCAGCTCAGACCCGGCAGCGTCGAACGGAAGAGTGATTTGCGAACAGTGAACTAGAAGTGATTGTGCCTCTTTACGGCATGATCTCGAAACGTCGCTGGCGGGGATTAGACCTCAGGACAGTGGACACTCTCCATTGATATTCGATCCAAGAAACAAAGTCCGTGGCCTGTAGTTCGCTTGCGACCGCCGCTTGTCGGCGTAGTGCCAACTTTAGCGCACAGAGTGTCGTGTGGGCACCGCAACGGGTCCCCTCGCCCGTTAATTTCGGTTTTCTAGACCGGAGCCGCCCTTTCCTTGAAATAGCTCCTCAATTATCCTCACAAAGCTGCGTGGACTCCGTTCCAGACCAAGTACTTCTTAGAAAATCTGGTAGCGCCTGGAAACGAACACGGGACCTCTGGATCTGCAGCCAGGAATTTTGACCACTAGACCACAGAGGCGGTCTATTCGATCCGAGAACATCCCGAATATGAAAGGAACACGTTCCCACGAGGACCAACTTACTTGATACTGAATCAACCAAATAATAAAAAGTAAAGTTATCCGTGTGCTTAATTAAGCATCACGCCAAGAAGATGTATGGGGGTGGAGGTATAGGTCCACCATTTCTGATTGGCCGCTTTACCAAAGGAAAGAGCCCCTGATACCCATTGGATAAGAGGCTGCGTGGGCCCCATAGCCAGTCTGGAAGCTGTGGAGATCAAGAAAATCTATTGCCTCTGTTGAAAATGAAACCAAGGCCCGTAGGTATACCGACTGAACTATCGCAGCCCGTAGAATTTAGTAAGAGTCAACGTTTGCTAGACAGTGTATACGTCTGCCTGACATCGACAGAACATGAGATGCAGTCTCTTTCCTCTAATGAGCTGCCTTTAGCTTAGTTTTCATTACTAACGCAACTTAATTAAAATGACATTCCTTTTTCTGGAGGTCGTTCAGTTTCCCACGCTTAGGCATCATCTCCACGGAGCTGTGGCACAGGTAGCTGTTACAATACCTGCAAGTGGTCGACATGCCAACGCGTCCTTCCGAACTACTGGGCGGAAACGATCAGACATCACGTGACAATCCTCTACTCCTGTCGCCAATAGATGCAGGCAAAACAATGGATGAATGAACGGGCGATAATTTCTTTTATTCATATGACGCCAACTCAACTCACATAACCAAAAGACACTACATAACTTAATTGATTGCTTTCCTCTGATTTCAAATCCGGTTAATATTTGTAACCATGCGACGTAATTAATTAAACATAAGCCGCAAATCGAATTGTGATATTGAAGCCACAACGTATACACGTCTGGCTACACGTTGGTGTAGCGGTAACTCTCTATATACAGACTTGTATTCGGGATTTACTGGGTTCGAATCTCGGCCGAGATACCAGCCATCTGTGTACCCTCGTGATTTTCCTCGGTTCCTGAAGCCAAATGCTGGAGAGTACTTTGTTTAAGCCAATAATTTTTCCTTCCGAATCCCTTCCAATTCATCAATGAACCTTCCTTCCGACGTTATATAGACTACTGAAACCGTCGTCCCCCCCCCCCCAAAGGACAATTCATTAAGCTTAGAGTCTTATAAAGCTTACTTGAGAAAAGTACGCGGTAGAGAAAAACATGAAAACAGCATATAAATCTATAACATACATTTCATGAAACCGCCACTGAAATAGTCTTATTAGAAAGGTAAAGTAAAGGTATCCCTGTAACAAGCCGTCGAGGCCCATACGGTTGTGAGACGTCGAGGCTCCCATATTTTAGAGAAAATCGACTCACAGATGGAGGTGAGGCTGTCAGCCTTACGCGCCGGCCGCCCTTTACTCCAGGGCCATAGCGCAGCTGTATTAGGTAAACTGAAAAAATCCAATGACGTCATCGGGACTGGAACCCGCGACCTTCCGGCTTGTAGCATAGTGCTACGCTACCGCGTTCCCCAGTCATACTATAAACTTTGAAATTAATTCTACGAAACGGTTTACTGAATGACAGTTTACATCTCCAGCGGCTTAGCTTCCGGTTTCACGTATCTGCCCCGAGATTGGTTACCCTGAGGATGTTTCTGTTGTGGTTTTCCTTAGTCCCGCCAGGCAAATGTGGGATGACAGTGCCTCAAAACTGGCGATTACTTCTTCCTTCCACATCATTTCCAATTATTTAATAGTCTTACTATTTTTGAGCCGGGATAGCGACTGGCTACTGGCTGGACGACCGAGGGGTCGGAGTTCGAGTCCCGGTAAAGTAAAAAAAAAAGTAAAAGTAAAGCTATCCCTGTAACAGGCCGTGAAGGCCCATAGGGTTGTGAGACGTCGAGGCTCCCACATTATCTAGACAATCCGCTCAAAGATGACGGTAAGGTCAGCCTTAAGCGCCGGCCGCGCTTTACTCCCCAGGAAAATTATTTAATTAATTCCTGGTACTCATTTTTGTTAGAGACTGAGTCGACCCCAGGTCCATAGTGAGGCTGGAAGGACTAGGTCAACTGAAAAAAAAACCAATGACCTCATCGGGACTTGAACCCGCGACCTTCCGGCTTGTACCAACTACGCTACCGCGTGCACCCCCCCCTCGAGTCTAGGTAAGTCAAGAATTTTCTTTTCTTCACGTCGTCCAGACGAGCTCTGGGGCCCACACAGCCTCTTATCCAATGGGTACCGGAGGCTCTTTCCTCGGGGGTAAAGCGGCCGGGGCATGAAGCTGACCACTCACCTCCAACTAGTGCAGCAGTCAAGATCTATACATCGACTCCCCATACGCCTTCATGGTGTGGTGCTTAATTAGTTAAGCACAGGGACTACTAATAGACAATATACACGTAATGTCACTGTTTCGTGCCGTTATCCCTTAACACGGCTTTACACAAGGTATCCTGTGGCTATGTAACAAGTCAACACATGTGTCAAGCGCAGATGAATCACACACTTCCTCCTCTGGGAATGAATGCATCCTTTCAAACATTGAGAGGTGTGCTTTGTTTGCCCACAGTATCCTTTTTAGTCTTTCACTTACACTATAAAGGTCAGTATGTTACGAATGTCAATTACATATTAAACCTTACTGACTACATCGTGCTTTTGTTGCTGTAGTGACCAGGTAGACCATTATTTTGTTTTTAATTACGCCTTCCAACATACGCGTCTGTCAGTGTTGACGTTATCAGCAGTGGCAACTATGTACTCTTATCTTCTGACGTGTGTTGCCACGCAGTCTGGTAGTTGAACGTATTGCC